TCGCAACTCTTGCCTTGGGGCATTTTTCGCCTTAGACATCGTCGCAACTCTGGGCCCATGTATGCCCTGACCTGTGGTGATCTTCGATTCGCCCGAGACATCCTTGCAACTCAGAGCTCTTCGTTGTTTTCGTCTTGCTTCTTTTTGTTGACAGGCGTCGAAGGAATCTGCGCATCCCCCCTGTGACCTGACGAACTGTTGCGACGCGCAGTTCTGCTGAGTGGTTTGTCATGTTCCCGCCGGGGGGCAGCCAGCGCACGCGCTGCGGCGACGATCACCACCGCTGCGGCGGCGACGGGGACGACGTCGATTTCCAATGTAAACTTTTTGCGGACCTTATGTGGGGCCCAGCGACGGGAGGGAAAGGCAGTGACAATAATGAGAAGGTAACGAGGATGGCGGGGACGAGGCAGAAGACGAGGAGAAGGACCACGCAACGACGACGACGCCATCATCGGAAGCGGTGGCGGCGACGGCTACCACGACCACCAAGGTGACAGCGGCGCGCGCGGCGATGATGACAACGACGACAACGACGACGACGACGACGACGATAGCGCCGGCGGCGTTGGCGGCGCCGGCAACGACGACAACGTCGACGACCATGCCGAAGACAATGGCGACGACGGCGGCGAGAGCGGCGTCGGTGGTGACGGAGACGACGAGGACTGCAGTGGCTTCGGCAGCGGCGGCACCGGCGGCCGCGACGACGTCTGTTTCCGCGGCGGCGGCGGCGACGACGAGGACAGCACAGCGGTGGTGATGACGACGACGAAAACGACGACGACGGAGACGACGACGACGGCTACGATGTCAACGACGACGGCGACGACGACGACGCCGACAACGACGCCGACGACGACGACGACGATGGCGACGAGGAAACACCTCCAGCGCGACAACTGGGAGCCCAGAGTTGCGAGGATGTGTCAGGCGAAACGGCATTTCGGAGCCCAGAGTCGGGAGGATGCCCCTGGCGCAGTCGGCCAGCACTGGGCACCGAGCTACCGTGCTTGTGCCCATGCTCGTGCTCCAGGCGCGAAGGGTGCGCCTCTTATGTGCTTGGTATGCATGTCCCTGGCGCCCTGGTGCGTGTTGGCAAAGGCGCCCATTCATCATGAGCCGCTTTGGATCTCTGTTGGGTCGTCCTGGGTGTCGCTGGATGCCCTCACGGGCCATCGGGAGGCTCTCGTTAGGCCAGTCTGGGCTGTTGTTGGAGCAGTCCTGGGTCGTCTCGGTGCTCTTCTGGCTTTTCTCTACGCTTCGCTTGGCGATCGGGGCCTTTATTGGAGCCTCGGAGGTGCCTCTTGGAGTTTCTTGGGCCATCCTGGAATTTCTTGGATGCTTCTTTGCCTCCCCCCACCACCCACGCCGGAGCTGCGGCCAATTTAGCGCGTGCCAGGCCCTCCCCTCCCCTCTCCAGACCCCTCCATGCCTGGAGAGTGCTCTCTTCGGCCGTCCTGGGCATCTCTGAAGGCTCTCTTGAGACATCTTGGGGCTCTATTGAAGTTCGCTTGGGGCTCTCTTGAGCCCGTTTGGCGCATCTTGGGCTTCTTTGGCTTGGGCTGTCTCGCGGCTCGTCTGGCAGGTTGTAGAGTTTTCTTAGGTTGGGCCTCTCTGGAGGCTCTCTTAACCACCCACCAAATCACCCCAACCCAACCAGAAGGCCTCAATCTGCCCTCCATTTCCAGTGGGAGGGGGTCGGGGAACATCGACAAAAACACATACGGAGCCCATGCCCCCCCAACCCGAAATTCGGGTCTTCGGGTTGGGTTGGGGTGGTCTGGTAGGGAGTCATCTCTTGTGTTGCATGCGCATCTTGACGCTCCCTGGCTCTGCTGGTATTCTTTTTGGCTGATCAAGGCGGTTGTTGGGGCGACTCTGACCCGTCTTGGGGCGTCCTGGAGCTGTCTTGGGCTGTCCTCAGCCTCTGTGCAGATCCGACTGGGAAATTATTGGGTTGTTGGGGTTGGCAGACATTTTGACTCAAGGAGCGCGAATCGTTCTCTAAGCGTGCAGCATCCTAGGACCATGGAAGCTCTGCCATGTCTCGCTTTGCTGGCGAGGCTGCTGTGCTGTGGAGTCCTTTGCGGGCCGTTGGTGGCGTGGCTGCGGATCTCCGCAAGGGGGGAGGCGCTGCCAGAAGGGCCGACAGAGATGATGGCTCAGCAGGGCGAGAGCGCGCTTGGCTTGGCGAAGGCTGACAAAGAGCATGGTTCAGCAGGGCTCAGAAGGGCAGGAGGGTGGGCGCGAGCGGAGACGGCCGTCGGTCGACCAGCGTCGACCCGCCTGCTGGAATCCGCCGCAGATTCTGACCTGACCGCACTGCCGGAATTCATCATGATCGGGACGCAAAAGGCTGGAAGTACTTTCATGAGAAACGTCTTCTGCACCCACCCGCAGTTGATAACTAGTTGCCACAAGCGAGGCAGGTGCGAAGAGGGGGGATCCCTCGTGACAGTTAATGGCAGCGGCGTGGAAGCGTTTCGAATGGCCTACG